CGATGGGCGGAGTCGCGCCGCCTCAAATGGGCGGCGCGACCCCGCCCATCGCGCCAAACGACCGGCTCCCAGCTAGCCCTACTTATCCAGTCTGCTTGAAACTCGTTCCCCGATGATAGGCGCCAAAGCCCTTTTATTCACCACGAATTTCGCGGTTTGCCGCGTCCATCCAGTTCTGGGTGAATGTACCTACAAGTTTTGGTTTTTCGTCATGAAATTAATAATTTCAGGCGTAGTTGATGTAGACGTCGAGACAGCCTGTGGACAGATTAGATCTCATATGGCGCGAACTTTGAGACGATCTTCTTCCGATGCCGTATGTGTAAACGGCTTTGGCTAGGGTGGGGAATGAATATAATGATGGGCGTGCAGTTCCGTTCATGACGAGCCGCAATACCAGTCAAGGAGGTAGCAGCAGGAAGAGAAGATGATAAACGTCCAAAGTAATGTGGACGTATCGGTATGCAGGAGCATCACCGGTTTTCGGCCGTGACCCACCCATCGATGACGTAACCGCGATAGGATCTCGCAGCAGCGATGGCCCCACGTCTCCGCCCTTCGCCATGCGATAGAATATCGACATATCTCGTTCCTTTCGGTCGGCCTAAAGACAGTCGGGCTCGCGGGAGGTCTTTGTTCGCTCCTCTCTCTCCATAAAACTGACTTACCTCTGTTGCGCGTTACAATCCCCAGTTACCTCTTCGTTGAGCATACTCGCATACTCGACGTACAGGGATCACCTATTACAACCCCAAAAACTCAAAATTTTAATTTCCGATGAAACTTCGCCTGTAGGGGTAATCCGATGCCCTGATAACGAATATGACCTTCACTTTTGGCGCTGGCGCCATTTGGCACTAATTGGCGCCAATTTGGCGCCAGCGCCAAAAATGAAAGTCATGTTCGTTATCAGGGCATCGGATTGCCCTTATAGGCGAAGTTTCATCGAAAATTAAAATTTTGAGTTTTTGGGGTTGTAATAGTGAAATAGTACCTTACATCCTTCTACATTCGCTTTTTCAAAATGAACAAGAATGCCTAATCTTTCTGTGGTTTAACATGTAACGCATACCATATCATAGACAATGAACGCCAGAAGGGTATTTGGCGCTCATGAATCCTCTTCGTAAATCGGAATATGTCAATTGTTCGGTCCTTAGTGACTGATATGACAACCGGCATCAAAAGACCTTTTGAAAGTTTTCACTCTTCCCAAAATCTTTTCTCGGACCAGTGTGGCTGTTTTCAGACTTCGATGGCCAATCGTCCGTCCGTCCGTTCAACGCGTGTCGCGCCGGCGGTTCTAGAATGGTGTTGACTGCGCCGAATACCGATCAGACGCTGTCAGCACTTCTAGAACCGCCGGCGCGACACGCACGCGGGCGGCGCTAGCCAGTTGTTGACAGCATTGGACAGGTCGTGTTCAAAGCCGCGTGAGTCATAAAGGCGCGTGTTCCATCGAGTCCAGTGTCCGTCCTTCCGTGCATGCGTGCTGCGACGGCGGTCGCGTGCCTGCCGTCACGGTGGCGCTAGGCAGGATTGAGAATACGTTTCAGCACGTCAAAACCTATCTAGCGACGTCGTCGCAGCACGCACGCGCTGGACGGGCGGTCTGATGAATCGTTGAACTCTGTAAGCAGCCAAACAAGTGGCTAGCACTGCCGTCGGTCGGTCGGTGGCAAGGCACTCTGAGTTACAGCTGCGACCTGCAACGAACGTCTTTCAGTATGCTGACTGCCAAGACGTTCGTTGCAGTATGCTGACTGCCAAGACGTTCGTTGCAGTATGCTGACTGTCAAGACGTTCGTTACAGTATGCTGACTGCCAAGACGTTCGTTGCAAGTCGCAGCTGTCGCCCTTCAGAGTTCACCAGTGTGCCTTCTATGACTACTTTGCTAGCAGAGCAACAGAGTAAAGCTGCCATGTGTTTTCTGTTTGTAAAAAAATTGTTGATTGTGTTAATCTGGCTGGCGCTTGCCGCGCTTGACACTGCAAATTTTCATCCAACTCATTCTACTAGTTCATTCCATAGTTGTGTTTTGTGAGTCAAAGAATCTCAGCTCCAAACCAGACTAAGCGTCTGATGCTAGAAACTTCTATTTTTGTGATATGGTGCTCGAATCGCGAGCATTACCTAAGCGATCCCCCCGTATCAGGCTCATTTGTTTCCGTAACGTACTTCTTGTGTTGTTCTTATATTATAAGCTTTGTCAATTTCTTCTCTTTTGCGTGTTATGCAACACGGACATGATATTTCCTCCTCATTAAGGCTTGGAATTATATTCATGAGTGAATTGACTATTGGAGAGAAAAGATCACGCAGTGAGGCGGTGAAGATGGACATTGAATCAGCTGGGAATGGCACCAACATACCGTTCTCGGAATTCGTCGTTGTTTCGGATAGTAACGGTAATACCTGTTTGCATAACTGCACTAGGTTTTTTTTGTGGAACCTAGAACTTCTTCATGATTATTGTTTCAGGCGACCCAATGGAGCTGCCGACCGCTCAGGATAATTCTTTGTCCATGGCAACACTTCAGGCGTCTTATCCTGGTGCAACGGGATTGAAGTTTAAAAATGCAAAGACCGGAGCCCTGAGAGCAGTGGCGTAAGTTTTTATTGTATATCTCCGTTTTTTTTTCTAATGTTCAGAATTTCAGGGTTGATTCCTCTGGAACTAAAATGTTACCACCCCTGGATGGATGGGATGACAAAGTGTTTGTTGTGATCTTTTCGAATACACGCGCTGAGCGAGGTTTGGGGATTTTGTGTCTTTGTCACAATTCACAAAGTCTATGATTGCAGTTGAAGCAGAGCATTTGCAAATCCAATTAAATTAGTTTTCCAACGTTGTCGTGAGGCCCACTATTGGGTATCGGCAACCACAGGCAACTATGACTAGGTCAAGAATGAGAGACAGTGGGCCCTGCGATGTGCTGCCACTCAGCTTCTAGTCATTTGCGAGTGCAGCCCGATGAGCTGCTGGTAGAGTCGCCAATGAGACGATGGCATAATGTCAGGAATGAAGTTGCATTGATTGCTCTAGTGCGACTGATTTCTGACCATGTGCCTTGTGCCTTTTTGGGCGCTCGTGGGTCTAAATCATGAATTTTAGGCGATTCGCTGCTCTTTTTCATATCTCAAATCTCACGAATGCCATCTTCGATCAACAATCGGCCGCTGCAGCCGTTAGCATTAGAGACACAGATCAGTTGGAGTGGTCCTTTTCGACCTCATTTTCACTGGACATTATTGTACAAAGATGGCATCCATTGAGGCTGAAGCGCTGTTTCTGGGGTTTGCTTCGTTGCGCGCGTCCGTCGAAACCAGTTCACGCGCAGCCTTCGTACGCACCGCGTCAGAATGCGATTCTCGGCACGTCGCATTTGTCAGTGGGGCATATGATTCGCGCTTGGACAGACCGAAAAGAAGAGGACTCTCACTAGTGCAAATCTTTTGCTCCACTGACACCTAGTGGTACCGTAAAGTCATCTAGAGTTCGCATTGACTGCTTTCCTAGTCCGCCGACGGGCCGGCGCTCCGGCTGACGTGAAACGAATTAGTTCGTGTAAGGAATCTACGTTGTTGCATTTTATTTCACGGTCAGAACCCGACCGTAAAGGATCTGACCGTGAAATAAAATGCAACAGAAGTAGGTTCCTTTCACGAACTAATTCGTTTTAAGTCAGCCGGCGTGCCGGATCGCCGGTCGGTCGGCGGACTAGAAAAGCAGCCAGTGGGTTGCGCCGCGCAAGATATAGGCTTAGTTTCGACCAACGGAAACGGAACCGTCTCCTTATGCAGTTGGGTCGGTCTAGGTCAAACCCTATTTAAGTGAGCTCATGATTTTCATCATGTGAGTAGGAGTTATCTTCTGTCTTTTGTTAATATTGTTCCTATTAACTAATTCCCATTTCATTTCTGTTCAGAAAAATTAATCAGGACTTTATTCAGACTCATCTGTGGGTGATAAATTTAAGGATCAAACAATGGCCGACACTTAATCCAGCAAATTTTTTCATCGTTTTTGATGAAAAAAAATGTGGTAAGCCGCTGTAAAAAGTTGAAGTTCAATGAGGTTACTGATCTTGACCGATCCAACTGCCCTCTGCCGCTGGAGCGCAGGGAAGGATGGGCACCAATATTCTTTGCCATGGGGATATCGAAGGACAGGGGGAAAGGGTGCCGTGGGGGTACGATACTTACCCTTTGCAAAAGGTGGAATGAAAATGGAATTGTCTTTCAAGATACTACCTCGCAGAGAAGGCGTAGACGGGGGTGGAACTTCCCATGCCTCTCCCGGACTGCGTTTTCCCTATCAATCTCATTCAGAGCAGTTGCTATAACGACGGTGATCAGTCATTCGTATGAAAGAGCAATGCAAGCGGAGGAGCGCTGAAACTTACCAGGGAAGGATCCCAACTCGAAGCGGCCATTTGAAATAAGACCTATACTGCTAGACTTGTTTTTGGGCGCTGAATTCAAATCCGCTTTCCAAATCTGCCAAGCGATTCT